ACAAACAGTATACGTAGACACCATACATTCAAATGAAATTTGATTTGATCATCAAATGACATTTGATTTAACTGTTAGTATTATTAAATGTGATTTCGGATAAAATTTAATATGAACCTCGGCATTAAAGTCATTTTTATCACTCACGTGGTTATTTGCCTCGGCTTTCGACTCGGCAAATAATTACGACTTTACTGCCATGATACATAAATAACTATTTATGGCATTTTTCATTAATTAAATTTCCAACGAAACAATCCATTTTTGGACACTTCAAACAATTTGACACTTTTAAATGACAGAAATTGGTGTGTAAACTTTTTTTAGAAAATTATGTACAATTTAATAATTTATTATTTTAGTTTTTATTTATTTACAAAACGTAAAAATTAGTATGTTTAGAGTAAGTAGGTTAGTTTTTATGAATATGTAAAAATTTCAATATCTTAAAAATATTTTAATTATTAAAACAAAATCTTAAAAATTGTCTCTTGCGAATTAGAACTCAATTTAGTCAGGTGGGCATATTGTGTATTTTGCAGCAAAATTTTTGCTTATAGCTGGGCTGTAGATGATACAGCGACAGCCCAGTTAAAAGCAAAATACACAATAATTTTATTCATGGTTATTGGAGACTAATAAGTGCATGTGATGATAAGCATAAATTGATTTAAATCGACTCACTGCTGAAAATAGTGATTTTTGTAAAACAGGAATATTTATTATATTTTATTGAACACTTAGCCAATATTATTTGAAAATGTTTTCATTGCTTTTATATAGAGTAAGGTCTTTGGTAACAAACTCCATTAAAAAAAATTTGCTGGCAAGTTTTTCTAAGAATATATGAATTTATAAAATTAGACAATTTTGCCAAAAAATTGCATTTTAAAAAAAAATCCCAAAGACCATTAAGGGCATCAATAACTAAATGTGTCCTATATGGTTTAAAAGAGAAATATTTTCTTAACAAATAACAGTTTGTTTAATGTCGATAGCTTTATTAGCAAAAGAAGTACAATTTTTTTAAAGTTAGTTATGCACAGTAACTTTTGCATAGCCCTGTATAAATAGGTGAAGGGGGGAGAAAAGAAAAGGTGAGTTTTTTTTTACTTCTTGGGTCCTTGTCTATTTACAGTTAAAAAAGAAATAAAATTAGAGGATATAAGGTGCCAGTGGCGGCTCGTGGGTCTACACAGCGCAGGATAATAAAAATTTGCGCCCCGGGTCTAATAAAAATTTTCCGCCCCTATCTATATAATAAATTCAAAGAAATGTCACTTCTTAACAAAAGGATTTTATTTAACCATAAACAGTAGGGTTGTAGTATTTTTTCGAAATTTTTTTGATTTTGGAGATCAAATAAAAAAAATAAGTCTAAAGTATTTGAGTTTCAACAGATAAAAAAATTTTAGACGTCGCTCAAAACTTTTTTAAACCAACCTTTTTTCTCAAAATCTTTGGCTTCTCACTATTTTTTTTGTAGGTCGTATAGGAACATAATACATTTTTAAGTCAAAATATTATTGGTCGCTCAATATTTTTGAAATACATTTCTTGATTTTTTTAATAATTTTGATCTTGTAACCACTACTATTTTTCCAATTTAGTTAATTTTTTTGAGCGACGTTTATTTTTTTTTGAGTTGAAACTTGAATACTTTAAACTTAAATTGTTTCATGTGAGCTCCGAAATAAAAAAAAAATGTCGAAAAAATATTGCCACCCTAAAAACATAAATAAAAACTATATAAAAAACAAAATAAATAAGAAAATTAACATTTTGCCAACTCAACTTTGCGTGCTTTTAGAGAAGCAAATTTGTTTATCGCAATATTGACGTCATCTTTCAATAGGCTAATACCTATACTGTATATATACATACATATATATATATATATGACTGGTACTGTATATAACTATAGTTTTAAACTAATTTAAATTAATAGTTGTTCGTAGTTTAATAAAATATTCTTATATTAAAAAACCTTTACGCCCATACGCATCGCATCGGTGGAAATAATCAATTTCTGCAAACTAAAGTTCTTGTCGCCCAACAACTTGTCGGGCGCCCTACGTAATACGTGACATGACATATTTCGTATACTATGCATAGATAATAATACTATGGCAATAATCACGGTTATAATTTAAATAATTTTTTTATTAAAACTGATTAATACACGAAAAATAAAAAAAGGGGAAAACCCTTTAGGTTGTAGTAAAAAACAAAAATTACCAGTCAAAAATTTTGCGCCCCCTGTAAGCTTGCGCCCCGTGTCTATAGACCCCCAAAGACCCCCCCTAAATCCGGCGCTGGGTCTACAGGAGGGTGAAGCTACATAAGGTTAATTTTGTCTAAATACGAATAAATTTCCACGTCACCCGGGAGGTATTATTCTGCGACGCGTTGACCTTTTTTAAAATGGAGGTCATCGCCGATAGCCGTACTAAACCATTATAAATAAAAAATAAACTCTAAAAAACAAAACAAACAAAATATCACATCAAAGACTATAGTAAGATTAAAACTATAGTTTTAATCTTAAAACTTAAAAATATATTCTTAAAAAAGTTAAAAATAAATAAATTAATCAAAAAATAAAACTAAAAAGTCGACCCCTACCTAGGTATTAAAAAATATAAAATACTATAGCTACTTTTTTTTAGAGGTTAGGTTTGTGGGTATTCGGACAGGAAAATTAAAAACTTATTTTAAAGTCGCCGACGTTTCGAGGGCATTTACTGCTCTCTTCCTCAGGGCAATTTCAAAACATGTATTGACAGCTCAGTCATACCGTCAAACACAAATACCGCAAAACGGTATGTACTCCAATAAAATTCTTCTGATAGAAGGTTTCTTATTGTATTGGATTATTTTATTGGAGTACATACCGTTTTGCTGTATATGTGTTTGACGATATGACTGAGCTGTCAATACATTTTTTGAATTAGCCCTGAGGAAGAGAGCAGTAAATGCCCTCGAAACGTCGGCGAATTTAAAACAAGTTTTTAATTTTCCTGTCCGAATACCCACAAACCTAACCTCAAAAAAAATTTGTTAAAAGGACAAAACTACTATGGATACTATAGGTACTTTTTGTAAATTAAATCTATACGTCTATCTTTTAAGTTTGCAAATTTATCTATTATTTGGTCGTAAAATTGTGGGTCTGCAGTGAGATTTAAAAGTAATTCTAAATTTTTAAACCGCGTCTCTAATTGAAGAATTATGCAATCTATTATTTCAAAATATAAAATTTGCTTAATAAAAACTGCTGATTCTACCTTATAGTGTGTTAATAATTAAATAAGAAATTTTACTAATCGAGACAAAAACTATAAAAGATCAGCCAAAAGTTTTAAATAATTTAATCTGAATCAAAACAATAACGTGCTCTACAAACGCTAAGAGAACACTGGCATCCCACCATAGACGGACCCCCACAAGCGATTATCATCGGTCATGTGATAAAACCACCAATCAGAACAAGCCAAGCTAACTAAATTTCGCCTCATCTACGACTGAATCTACGGAATTTATTCGCGAACTTCCGGCGATATTTTTATTGGTGAGTCATTTTCGCTTACTAGAGGTAAATGGGAGTTTCCGAGGCTGTGAAAATTTCGCCTCTGTCCTAGCGACTCTCAACGATGCACGTTACCTTGACGCGCTTTGCGCTTGGATTTTTATTTACGCTTAGTATGATTGATTGGTTTTTTACTTTTTATTGGGTAGTACTGTTGTAAAATACACTTGTAATAGGCAAAAATCTAAATACAAAAAGTCGTTCGTTCCTTCATTTTAAGGGTGAGGCGCGGCCTCAGAGGCCTACCCTGACGAGCCGCCACTGTAAGTTGCCCTCATTGGTGGCTAATAAATGAAATTATCCAAAAGCCTCAGTATACCAAAATTTTTATTGAAAATAAATTACTATAGTTACATTATGTCTTCTTAAATAAGAAAAAATGGCGTACTCAGACAGAGAAAGACAAACTATTTCAACATATTATCTTAAAAATAATTTAAATATTTCAGAAACAGTTGAATTTAGGTATATGGTATGTTATATGAAATATGCTTAGAATTTTACAAGGAATCGAAAAATAAATACATATATAGGGTGATCCATTGAATGGATGTGTTTTGGAACTTAAATAGACACAAGGTTTTACCGGAGAACCAGAGGTAAGTCTCTAACAAGCGGTTCTAATTTATGTTTAAGGAAATTCAGGTTGTCGATGCCGGTCATTCTTTGAGGGACATTATGTAGGCCAAGCAGGGATCCATTTACTATTCTACCCTAAATATTTACTGAAAATCTTTCTTAAAAATTCCATTGATTGAATGCATTAGTGGTATATCACCATAGTTATGAAAATTAAAAATACTATTTTTGGTAAACGTTCATTTGCCAGCGACCAAAATTGGGTTTAACATAATTTTTTGGAGAATCCACTGGCAAAACCTAATTCTCCTGTCGGGGCCTGCACCCTTAAAAGTGATAACTGCTGCAGATCTTTCTTTTATTTGTGTTAAACTACCCTATTGGTCACTTTTAACCGACGGCCAATACTTCAAGTGCTTCGTGATGGGTCGTTTGTTACCAGTTGCAATACTTGTTCCTCTACGTTTAAAATACTTGGCAATATAGCTATATGGGTATAAGGGTCTATTACGACCATGATGGAAAGTATACTTTTTTAATTGTCAACACACAACCCTTTTTAACTATGGCAAATCCTTAAATCACGACATAAAAATATATAAGTGTGTTTAAAATAATATACTGAACCATATATTTTAACACTTAACTACAACCAACCGAAATATGTAAATTATGACTATCCACGGGTCAAAATGACCCATAATTCCGCAATATTCATTTTTTTTTTAAATCACAGTTTTGTTCCATACTTCACATCCGTTAAAAAGTCATAGATCTGCTTTTTATATATTTTTTTTAATAAAAATGTTAAAACAATATTGTGATTTCCTACCTGAGCAGCAACATGTCCTTGTTCCAGCCTAACCAAATCCGTATGGCTCCAAGCACTGGTCGACCAAGGTGAAACTCCTCTCAAATCTTCATTAAACTTGAAATTCTTCAATTTATTATGAAGAAACTTTCTAATATTCCATGGAAGATCATTATGGCCGTCGATAAGAGGTACTTCTTGTAGAAGTCTCGTCGCGAACTCCAAACGTTCCTCAAACGATGCGCTTGAACTTATTTTGAGTGCTATAGGGACTCCCACTCCTGCAGCTGCAGCGAGAAGCAGAACTGTTGCAATTATCCACCAGTGACGACTTGTCAAGTCTATTCCTGTAAATAATAATTTTAGTTAAATTTGTAAAATTGACGATAAATAATATTTTAATATTATATATATATATATATATATATATACACTTCGCGTCAAGGTTAATTCTTCTGTAATAATACGTTTATGAAATATTTTTTCAAATTTACATTTTGAGTTTATACAGGGTGCATGAGTGATAATAAGTTTTTTCCCGAAAATTTGTAACGCCCTGTGGGTTGTACCAGCTTTAACAGCCTATGACTCAAATAATTATAATTAAACTGTAGCCCTATATTTTCTTAACATTTTGTTTTTTGATTCACCTAGCTATCTATTTTTTTTTAAATGAGATATAGTTAAGGACGAAATAACTCCAGTTTAATGTAAAATAAAAGAACCTAACATAAGTAGGTCATGGTAGGTCAGAAACTGTCATTTTCACTTAAGTTGTCTGCATAAAGTTATTTTAAAGTTATTGTAATGGAGCGCCATGTGAGAAATTTGAATCGTGATGAATGTGTAAGAGTTAGCAAGGATAAAGCTACCGTGCCATAGCTCGGAGATTGGGAGTTAATTATACCTCAATATCCCGTGATTCGACGTTTTGAAAAAACCAACTATCATAACAGATGTGATGGGCAGGGAAGGCATGAAGGCATCGAATGACAACAGCCGTGCATGATCATTTCCTTTATTTGCATGCTTTGAGAAAACTATTTGTAACAGAAAGAAATCTACAGGTACAACAAATGCTACTCATAATTTTCAAACAAGTGTGTCCACCGTAAGAAGACGTCTTGCGGAACAGAATTTGAGCTTCAGAATTCCAGCAACAGGACCGAAGTTAAATGTAAATCATCGTAGAGCAAGACTGCAATTTGCCAGACAATATGCTGGCTGGAATATTGAGGATTGGCAGCGTGTACTATTTACAGACGAGTAAAGGTTTTGTTTATTCAGCAATGATCGGCGAGTAAGGGTTCTCGGACGTCCAAATGAGAGATTTTCACAGTGTTACATTCGTGAAATTACGCTATTTAATGGAGGTTCTGTAATGGTTTGGGGAGGAATTTTCTTGACAGCTCGCACAAAACTCGTCATTGTTCATGGATGTACCATGAATAGTGTAGGTACGATATATCGAGGACATTTTATCTGAGCATGTTGTCCCTTTCGCCCCGTACATCGGTAATAATTTTTTACTGATGCAGGATAACGCAAGACCACACACCACCCATATAGTGCATAGTAACATGAGGTGGGTATTGAAACTTTAGACTGGCCTGCAAATAGTCCGGATCTCAACCCCATTGAGCATTTTTTGGGATAATATGGGTAGACGACTAAGAAATCATGATCCCTTCAAGGGATTCCCTTGCCTGCCTCCCTTGATGACGTAGCAAATATGCTACGAGAAATATAGAATGTCATTGATCAAGGCGAGATTAGACATCTGGTTTTAAGTATACTTAAAACCAGATGTCATATATGAGCCGTCGATGTGAAGCCGTAATTAGAAGTAAAGGCGAAAATACGCGATATTGATTTTCTTTAATGTTGGTTTTATTGATTTTGATAATACTTTTATTGTTACAATCGTTCTTTTTACATTTTTTTTTATTAAACTGGAGTTCTTTAATATTTAAGTGTATATTTCTTTTAAAAATAAAGATAACGCGGTGAATTAAAAAACAAAATGTTAAGAGAAGATATGCTCTGATAGCTGGTACAACCCACAGGGCGTTTCAAATTTACAGGAAAAAACTTATTATTACTCTTGCACCCTGTATATACTCAAAACGCAAATTTGAAAAAATATTTTAATAAAGGCGTCATAACCAAAGAATAAACCTACAATTTAAAACTAAAAATACTACCAAATTCGCTTTGACGGTTCGCGAGAAAATCAACTTTAAAATTGTGGCAATTTTTTAGTGGTGCGTTAAATTTGACGCGAATTGTATATAGCTGGTACAACCCACAGGGCGTTTCAAATTTACAGGAAAAAACTTATTATTACTCTTGCACCCTGTATATACTCAAAACGCAAATTTGAAAAAATATTTTAATAAAGGCGTCATAATCAAAGAATAAACCTACAATTTAAAACAAAAACTACCAAATTTGCTTTGACTGTTTGCGACAAAAAAAACTTTAAAATTGTGGCAAATTTTTAGTGGTGCGTTAAATTTGACGCGAAGTGTATATATAAATACTGTTTATTATTAACAGTGTGTCCGCGTAAGTTCTCTACTCATGGAAAACTTTTTTATTATTAATTTTACGAAAAACGTTACTTTTTCTAAAAAGTTTAGCTTCCTCCAAAAATAATATTGGACCATTAAAACTTGAAATTACATGTACACTGTACAGGGTCATAAAATAGGAAAATGTATAATTGGCCTAAAGCAGTCGATATACGAAAAAAATTGCTCTCGTAGATTTTTCGTAAAATGTATTTTTTCACAGTAAAATGGCAATTCCAACTCAATAAGAATAAACTATGTAGATTTCTGTTCTAAAATATTTTTTTTTTAAATTTTTTAGTGTTTTAATGTACATTAAAAAATATTTTAGAACAGAAATCTACATTTAAATCATTAGAGGAGTTTCTCTAAATGTTTACCACCAACTTCGAAAAAACCTATACGGCATATTATAAAATTTAAATTCAGTGAATTGCAAATTTACTGCGAAACGATCCATTTTAGGAAGAAACTTCAAAAGGATGTTCTTTGTAAATCGACTGTTTTAAAAATGTGATTTTTTTAATCATTGGCCTACATTTTTTTCTCTAGAAAGAGATATTGTTACCCCTAATTATTGTCCCTAAAAAAAAAGAAATACGAAATTTTAATAAAATATGTTGTTTAGTTTAGGAGAAATTAATTTTTTTAAAATATATCCTGTATATCTGAAACAGTTGATTGTTGATATAAGTTTATTAGGAAAATTAATATTATTTTAACGTTTTTTATTGATTCTTAAATTTAAAGGTTTATTTTGGACCACCCAGTATACATAGGGATTAATCGACAAGACTACACGAAGAAAAGAAAACAGTAAAAATTATTTAAAGAACTAACCATTGATGCGCAGAACACTATTAATTTAATATACAATGACAATGTAAGTGTCAGTGTACCATTTAAAATCATAAAATTTCTAATAAAAGATCACGGGTTACTTTGACAACAATGAATAGTCAGGAACTGTAGTGATAATATATATATATATAACAAGTGGTATGATTATCATCGATGATATTTTTGAATTAAAACCGAGCTGCAGATTTCACGAGTCCGCAGGACGAGTGAAATGTGCTGCTTCGGTTTCAATGAGTAAATATCATCGATAATTAATCATACCACGAGTTATATTTAGTGAGAAAATATAATGAATTTTAGGATTTAACGAATTGTCAGTTTGACATTTGAAATTAAAATGTGCTTTAAAATATAAAAAGACTTTAATAAACCTTATTTATTCAAACTAACCTTAATTTTATTATCGTTTACAACAACCCATCGATCTTTTAGAGTTTATGATTCATTATTTTAATCATTTAACAAACACAGTATTTGAATGTCAAATCAAGAAAAGTGTCAAAATTCTTAGCAACGTGTAAACAAAATATTGTCGCTGTGATAAAATGCGTAACCATGGAATACTGGCATTTTATTGGTTCTAATTATAATGAATTGTATTGTCTGCACATTAAATATTATTTTAAATTGAAAATAAGTAAATTAATGTTCTGCGCATCAATAGTTACTGTTTTATTTTCCGCGTGTACTGCGGGGAGCGATCGAGCTAATGAGAATTTTATAAAGCCGGTTTTAAATTTTTGTATATAGTATACTATTTAATTTATTTATAAAACATACCCAAACTAATGGCATTAAATGCTGTAAGTGTAAATGTTTGTAGGTAATATTTTCGTTAAAAACCATAAACTTCAACATTTAACATTTGTAATTGACCTGTTTCTTTGCCTTTTTTCAATAATAAATGTCATAATTTTATAATATATGTTTATTGTAATTATTTAATGATTAAGTTTTGTTGTTAACTATAATAATTGGAACAGCCAAGTGAGAACTTGAAATATTAACAAAAAAATCAAATAAACGGACCAAAAAACTTAAATACATAATGGACTCCACTTCAGGTCACATCAAAAAATGATACCGGGTATTTTTTTAAATTATTTTAATTTTTAATGAAACTAAATCAAATTTTATAATAATTTTATTCAGTAAAAAATTGAAAAACACTATTTCAAATATCATTTAATAATATGTATAAAAATTTCTAAGCAAATATTTAGTGTATGAGTAATTTAAAAATATTTCGTCCCACAAAAATCTTTTTCTGGATCCGCCCCTGACCCTATAAACAATAAAACTTTTGTTTTAAAATAATTGTGAATCAAATTTGGTAATAAAAGTTTAAATTTTTCCATAAAAATGATTATTTACCACAGAAAAACAAGTTTAACAAAAATGAAATTGGTTTTCAAACTTTTTTAAAAATTACCTAGGAACTTAATGGAAAAAGTGTTTCGAATATTTAAATACATTTGTAAAAAACGAATATATCTTATATCTTTAAACTAAATTTACACATAATTTATATTTGAAATCATAATAAAAACAAAGCATATGAGTAGGTAAAATATTTTCAAATAAACCAAGTATTTAAAAAATATTCTTTTAAGTTTCCCAAATAAAAAATATTGGTTTTATAAAATAAATTTTTAATAAAAAATAAATTCAAGATATTTTATTTCTGTTGGGGTGTTAACACTGTTAACAGAAAATAGAAAAATTATGCAGAACGAAAAGAGAACATTTTTAATGAAGATTTTACTCACGATAATTAAAAACACTGCGGGACTTGGTTTCTTAATTAAAAACAAACAAGGAATACACTAATTGATAAAAATTAATGAAAAGCACATCGTTATTGAAATTCAGAAAATACAATTTTGTTTTTGTTTACCTAACAAAATTACTTT